GGCATCCAATTCATGCAGAAATATTTGACATGCTACTGAAACATCTCCCTGTTTCAGACCACAATATGTTTTTTTCCCTAACATACTTCACATCCGAACCACTCTACTCAAGAACTGAATAACAAAAAAAACCCTTTGCAGACCCAAACGGCTAGAACCAATACCCAATTCCAGATCAAAAAGGGTCAAAAACCGTACCGCATTACACATACCTTGATGGTGTGTATAATAAGGAAGTACCACCTCAGGAAAAGCGAAGCTGGTAGGGGGGTGGAGGGGGGGGGGGATTGCAAAACAAAAGACCTACTAAGAGGAGTCTCCCAAGCCTGGCCCCTTCACTTGGAAAAAGGTTCCGTTGTTCCTTCTCCTTGCCACCCTTCTAAATCAAAACTATATTAACTACGTTTGTCATGCATTTAGTATACGATTAACTAACATTGCAGTTGATGGCATTCTGCTTACTAGCACACCAGAATGATGCACCAAGGAAACAGAAGTCACCGCCCTTCTTCTTTACAACAGCTGAATCACACAGACCGATTTCCTGAAAAGTAAATATGAAATGACATCTGTTAACTCTGTTTTTTACAATGAGCCAAATGGATGTTAAACAAATTTTTAAGTTTTCGCTTGGCAATCCACCTTCAACTGTAACAGCCTCTTTCCTTAAAACAACCTGACATTGCTAACGTTCTACTAATTTCATTTTTTTTCTCGCACATCGTGTATTACAATTCCCTATACTATGCTGTCGTACTATTGTCTGATTTGAAATAATTAAGAGGACCTCTTTAACTTAGCCATAATATGCGCACGTACAATTTTACAAGTAAATAAGGCAAGTATTTTCTCGAATATTTATACGTTTATTTTTTTACACGCGTGTTTCGCGCGTGTATTTCTCGTGCAATTTGCGTGCAATACGGCAGATTTACAAAACAGGTGAAATGCTGCAACTCCTATGTCCTGTACTATACGTTGGACATTTTGTTAATTGTTGTGAGACTTTACTTAAGATTACCATAATTTAGGATGGCTTCATGAATTTTGCATAGGGTGTGGTTACAACAGTAAAGCCACTTGAGATTAAGTAGAAATTTTCTACAAATGTTTTTATGTTTCAAGGTATCTTTTTTTGCGATGTTTGTTTTGGTCGAGTTATCTTTGACTGTGTGGAAAAAAAATCCTTGTAATCAAACAGAATGATTGCAGAAAATTTTCACTCTGAAGCATACCATGATCTAAGCAAAAACGCCCTGGGCCCAGATGCATAATGCAGCCTACGATTAAGTGTGAATTTTCTGTGCAATGAAGGAATTTTTTGCACTCTCTTTTTGTTTTCCGTACTCATTAAAACATAATCTACCTTTGGTCAATTTCCAAAACATACCCTGGAACAAGTCTGATAGGTACAATCTCAAAATTAACCCTTTCACCCTAGCTGAGATTGAAAGACGGAATCTTGTCCAGTGGTTCTAATTTTTGAGTCTCTGGATGAAATCCTGTGGTATGACCATACAAACAAAGCCTCTTTGCCAATTCTCTCACATGGTGTTATTTGTCAGCATTTTTACAAAATGAAATTTGGAAGTTTTATTGCAGTTTGACTTTGATCACTTTTGGAGATGACAGGGTTAAGGACATCTGGAACTCCTGCTGGATCCATCGCTGTAAAGAGTATTCTACTGCGGTGCAGATAAAGAAAACAATACTGATACCTTGCACAAAGCGTGAGGATCAGAGTCGGCAATCAGATCCAGAATGGCTTCACCATACTCTGAGACAATAGCACTGCACTAATAAAATGACAAATAAATAGTTTTAATAATCAAATTAATCAATCATTGTATTTTATTTTCAAGCAAGCCCCAGGTAAGCACAGAGCTGTGAAGACGTGTTTTTGTGCACTCCGATCTTAATTCACAAATTCTTCTCTTATCCTGAAAACGCATATTCTGAAAACCACTCAGGAAAGAATCAAAGGAAAATCAAGCTTTGCGTAATGAAATTGAAGAATTAAAGAATGACGACCTGTCAAAGAATCAACATGTGTCAATTAGATCACTTAACTTCTGTGTTTTATTTATTTTTAGTTGCAATCTGCAAGGCTTTCTAATAGTTTAGGGTTTCTGTTTTACTAGGTAATTGTGTTATTGATGTACTTGTCTTGCCCCGCCAGACTAGCTTTCCAGCTATTTGCGGGGCAAGCTATTCAAGTTTTGTATTTTTGTACAAAGAATAAAGTTGTTGTTTTCATCAGTTCACAAGTTAGTGTAGATGATATCAAATCAAAATTACCTCCGAAGCAATCTGGGATGGCAAGTAGTTGCAAACCGCTTTCATAAGACTAAGGATCTCTTCCTAATAGAAAACAAAGGAGAACAAACAAGTGAATCCAATGATATTTTAATAGTGCAATGGTGCCTATTCCACTACCCTGCAAGCAGAGCTTTCTCTCTTGCATGGCGTTTAGCATTTACAAAGTCATTAACGTTGCTTATTAGCACAATGCGACTGACCAGCGATGCAAACGACTTTGTAAACAATAAACACCATGCAAGAGATAAAGCTCTGCTCACAGGGTACTATACTACCTACACCCCAGCTTAACTTAGAAAACTTGAAAAAACAACAATAACAAACAATCAAAATATAAACTTGGCAAATATATATACCAGTAATCAATCTCTTGAATGGAAGAATAGGCCATTTGCAAGATGGTGTCATTTTACTTCTAAGACCAGAATTCTTTTCGTTTTTCCTTTCACATTTAAATTTGGTAATCCCAGCGAGGTTTAACTAACAAAGGCGATAATTTGCACAAGAAAGGAAAAACGCGAAGGATTCTGGTCGTAGTAGTAAAATGAAGCTATCATGCAAATGGCCTATTGAAACACTGATAACGAAAGCCAAGCTTTACAAGTTACCTTGGTGGCATTGTCAGCAAGCGCATTCTTCAGATATGTCATGACAGTTTCACAGATTTCACAAGTCTCATTACTTCCAACAGCAAGAGCCACAGGCTTCTCCATTGCTGAAAGATCAAAACAAGACCCCAGTTGATGAACACAACTATTGCCTTATATCTCCAATATTCAGCTATGTTCTGTGGCCTGAAGCAATTAGAAGGTTCTGTAACCCAAGAACATATGCAGGCGTGATGATCCCACACATGTCAGGGAAGAGGGAGGTCACAGACAACATGTAATAAAGATAAGCGTCTCTGTGTAGAAGCACACAAGTGCATAACCTTCTAGGGGTGTAACAATTCATGTTCCCTGCGATTCCATTTGATTTTGATTATTTCAATTTGATTACGTAAATTATTAATGTTTCTTAATTCTTATAATATAATGCATAATGTAAACAACATGCAACTCTAAACCCTCAATTTGAGAATAGTAAAAGGGACAGGAGGATTCACGGTTGCTTAGTCGTTCGTCGCCATGTTTGAGAACCTGACAAAGAGCGTATTGCATGTGGTTTGCCTTATTTGCAAATTCTCAAGGGGTTGTTGAAGGACAACGTTATAACCACGCAAGACAAAACGATGCATGAACTGCAATCGTCTTTGCTCATCAATCAAAAAGGCACATTTTAAAGAGTTCTTGACTCTGATTTTACAATGTAATAACTCACTTAGGGCACCCTGAAAAGGGTCTGCAAAAATCGAACCAAAATCGAAACTTGGAAGCAAAGAATCATGAATCGAACCAAAAGGTCATAATCGTGATAAATCGAGGATTTGAGTAATAATTTCACCACTACAACCTTAATGTCAATGTCATTACCGTCTTTACTGTGTTGGATAGTCTATGTCTTAGCTATGTTTGATTACATAGACCAGTGTAGGCTGTTTGATAATAAAAACAATTCCATACAACGGAAAATCTAAACAAAATCTTCCTATAAAGTCTTCCCTATTTCTACAGATAACAGACATAAAAATCTTTTAAAAAACTTCAAGGACAAGGCCTCAATCTGGGACCCTTCAGATTTAAGACAGAGTACAAAGTGTTTAAATCATCATATCATCACAGCTTTATCTCAGGTGGCTCGTCATTTTAATGACAGAACATTGCCATCCTTTACCTTTCTGGTGTTTCTTTGATGCACAAAGGTTAAGAGCTGTACAAACCATGGATGGATCAAGTTCTTGAACCAGGATTTCAATAATGGCTTGTTCATACTGCTCCACAAATTGTTTGCACTGTGGAGAAAAAGAACACAGTATTATGGCGCAGTTATCAAGGAAACCCTTCCTATAACACATCTTTTCTATCTGAATGGCATTTTCAAGAAGTGACAGCATTGTTAACTTGTAATCACCTCCCCCTCCATTTCTAGCATTGATGACTTGTCCTCATCATGACCTCTATTTCTCTTTTCTGCTAATCCAGTTTACCGATTATCAACTAATTTTCACCCCCTTTTTCTCTAAGAGTTGTTATCTGTCTCCTGAGGTCTGCCACTACATTAAATTATAGAGACCCTGTTAAGGTATTTGCACAGGCAAATTTTCAACATTTTATTTTGCCCTCAAAATCTTTCTACAGTAAGTTCAGATGATGTAATATGCATATCTGGTGTTCTTTTTTGAATATACCTTGGCATTTAAGAGAAAATCTACTCAAAAGTTGACTGATTTACCGGAAGTTAAAGAAAAATTTTCATTTCCGTTACTAAGGAAAAGGACGGCAGGAGCGCAATTTGACTCCTCTTTCCAGCATCAAGTTCTATTGATGCGCTGAACAAAATCTATTCACTGCTTGGATTCATTGACAAACTACAGCCGCTGTGTGTCCAACTTGATTTTTCTTGCTTCTGTTAAAGCTGTGATGACTAATATTACTTGCTTCTTGTCAAAATTTGTTATGTTCTTGAAATACACTCCGTTTTCCAGGGCTTATTATTGTTTTAAATTTACATTACATCGGTGTGTCTTCTCACCTGATATTTTCTGACAATTTTGCCGGGAGAGTAAAACGTTTTCTTGGCCCCTAATCCTCTGGTCTGTTTTTCTGCCAATTTCTTTCACTTTACAGAAGCAATTCTTTTCAATTTTGAATAAAACTCTTCTTCAATCTTCATACTTCGGCGCGCTTCACTGCATTAAAGCTGACACTGAGTAACGCATCTTCCGGAAATGAGTCACACCTAGCAACTGGTCACGTATCAAAATCCAAGGGGGCTATAGAGAGGTCATTTGGCATTTTCTTAGGCTTCCACGAGCATTTTACACAGCGGTGATTCAAAATGGCGGGCAAGAAGGTCTGTGATGGTAGTATCGAGGAAAAACAGTTGATTTTGAGAAGAAAATAAGCTTTTTCACACTGGAAAAGCGTTAATTACCGCGTGACCGATTTACCTTGACTTACGGGAACCAGTTTTTTGGAGGAATGGATCATTATTACTTCGTGAAATTTGGCAAATACACAAACAGCATGTTAATGAACAGATCTGTGTTTGACTAAAGGTTAGAATTGCTGTACCGCTGAGTTATTGATGCAAAATACGGGTCAAATTACAAAATAGCAAATTGTGCCCTAGAGGCTGGATTAATTGGAGCTGTGTCGTGGTCAAACACAGAATTATTCTATCTTACGTCCTTATTTGTGTTACATTTCTTTTTTAACAATAACTCTAAGGATTCTTCTGAAATTTTGATTTTTCTCTTTCCGTGCCACCCTAGGGGGTAATTAAATTAACACCTTTTGGGTGACATAACATAGTTTATTTTGATATATTCTAGTTCCTCAAGAACTGAGGAACACTGTCAATGTAGTGACATATAGATATTATCCATAAAACAACCACTAAAAATGATGCAAAAATGTGCAAAATTTGCCTGTGCAGATACCTTAAGCGATAAACCACATACAGATGTATTAAATACTGACAGGGATATATCATTGAAATTCAAATTCAAACAAGGGACATACTTACTTCCCCAAGAGGGCCTCATTATGCAAAAGTGAGTTTACACAACAAGACAGCAGGAGAAAAGAGGATGGCAAAGGAACATGATAGGGCTATAACTTGCGTGTTTTGTCATAATCAACACTTAATATTTTCTGGTCTTTTACAAAAAGATCTGTTTAAAGGAAGGTGAATTTTTTTTCAACAAATTATTGTCATGCTTGTCACACAAGGTTTGCCATCTTCTTTCTTCTCCCATCCTGTTATAGAAATTCACTAATAACAAATGGGGGAGGTGGGGTAGATAAATAGGGATGTTCACTGGAATCAGCATGGCAGGCCAAAAGCTGAATTACCCTTATGCTGCAAAAAATACTCAATTCCTCCACAAAAACTGAACTGTACTAATATTTATGAAACATATCAACTAGTAACTACATGAACTAAAATCTACAACATATTGAGCAAAAAAGTGATTAACTAAGATAAATCAGATGGTGCAGAAGAAAACCATGAAAAACAAAACCACACAACCAAAAATAAATCTTTCATACATTTACCTCACTTTGTATAGTGGAAGGAAGCAAACTGCAAACCTCTTCCAACGCCTCCTTTATTTCTTCCTGCAAAATAAACAAAATAAAGCACATTATTGACTTTGCAAATTGAACAAGAAAGTAAACGCGTGCCAGTCTTATGAATGACAAATCTGTGGCTCCTAAGAGCCACGAAACATCTCATTATTACTCATGTTTAAAATCTCTGAAATTTAACGCCTAAAGAAACAGTCCATGCTGCACTAGTCTAAATTTAAGAAGACCTGTTTGTCCCCATTAGGTAATGAAGTTTTTTTGTGTAGCAGTACATTTCAATTTTAACTAATAAATCTTTTAAACTAGGCAAAAGGTTTAACCAGGTGTTAGGGTATGGGTGAGGGTGACTCTAGAACTAAAACATGCGATAATATTATTCAAGAAATATATTTATTAAAAGCAAAATAAGGACTTTTCCAACTCATCTTGCACATCATGGTCCCAGTTAAAAGGAAACAACTGATGAAAATTATTCACTACAACACACATTCCATTTTTGCAAAATGAAGTGAGAACAAAGTTGCCCTTTTTAGGTACAAATTATGCTGTGTGAAGGTAGTTTTTAATTGCCGTCAATCTCAGGGGGGTAATGCCCATGACATCATTGACCATAGAAGTTGTCTTAGTTGCAGGTTAATTTTGATTTAAGCTAATAATTAGCTTAAATCTATTGTAGGTTGATTCTCAATTTCCTTTGTTTTCTAGCTATAGGACACAAAGGAAATTAAGAATCAACCTACTAAGGTTAAACATTTTAACCTGAGGTCAGCATATTTGACTTGTAACATCTAAAACTGGGTTGGCAAGTTTATATCCTATTTTATGACACCTATGAAGAAATTTGCACAGGTGGGAACAACAGAAAATGCCTCATTAAAAATAATCAAAAATAACCAATCAATATTTTTGTTTTTATTCAAAACAAAATTTATAATTACTTGTGTTGCATTTTCGCTAAGCAAGGTCTTGAGTTCAGTCATCACAAACTCGCAGAGCACGCACAGAGGAGAAGCCTTGTAAGGCTTTGACTTGAGGATGGCTTTTTTAGGTTTTGAAGACAGGAAGTTTTTCGCCAGCGGTAAAGTACTCATGATAAGTTTCGCAGCAATGACCTTCTTCTGCTTGGATTGGCAAAGCCCCAAAGCTGTGCAGGCTTGCTGGGGATCTGCCTAAAAATAAAGGAGAAAAATATCATACCATAAAATTCAATAAAATTATATGGAAAATAAAAAAATTATATCATTGGTAGGGCATCCATAAACCAGCTCTATATTTGTAATAGTCTGGATCAAACTGGAATTTAGAAATGTTGGTTTTGAGGAGAGGGAAAAAATGGAGAGCCCGGATAAAAACCTCTTTTAAGACTGTTACCCGGGCCAGGATCCAAACCCTTGCTACATCAATGGAAAGCAAGTTTTCTCACCACTCTCTTAAGAACCAAGGTCCTTAAGGACTTCATGAAGATGGCTTCTGACATATTTGTGACCTTTCCGGGAAAACATAAACTATTGCTTTTCCGTTTAACGGCTAAAAGCGTTTACAACTCATTAGATAAGCGTTAAACCAGTTTTGGAAATCATTGAAGGGGTTTGAAAAACTGTTACAATTTTTTAACCTGCCGTTAAAAGCATTAGGAAAACCATTCAAGGCATTAGAAAAAGTCGTTTGAGTTGAGAGAAGTTGTTAGAATTTTGTTCGCTGCTCAGAAGTTTGAAGCATGAGCCACGGTAAGTTTTGTTCATCATTACACCTAATTCTTAAGGTTCAAGCCTCAAGCCTGACAATGCATTGATTTGAGACAAACAGATAGAGAGATTACTTAAAATCACAAAGAACATGTTGTTTAGTCTACACGTTAAGCAAACCGTTTGGAAAATCAATCCGTTCAAATGCTTTCCAAAGCCGTTAGAAATTTTCGCTCACCCAATAAAATGCTTTGAAGAGCCACTAACAAGCCGTTCATTAGCCATTAGTTTTTTCCCGTTTAGTTTTTGCATCAGGGTACGTTTCCCTGGAGAAGGTCACATTTGTGAAGTGCTGATGATAATTACAATTTGACATGTGAGTTCCGTTTTCAGACTCACAGCAACGTTATATTGAGCATGTCTTCCAAAAATGATTTGTGGATTAGAATCACTTACACACTTTCTGCGTACCTGGGCCCTTCATTCAGTTATTGTGGGTTTCTGTTTACAATCATCATCAAATCTGGATTGAGTCATAGCATGGGCCTGTAAGTACTTATGCCCTGAACCCTTTAAATATTCTCAGTGATAATACTCACCATCAGGGCAAGAAGATTTTTCATTATCACAGGCTCATATTGATCTACCAGAGACTTGCACTAAAAAAAATAAACAACAACAAAAATAATCAGTTATGTACAACTATGATGTACCTGCTCTATGTGTTAATTTATTAACAAAAAATTATAAGTCATGAAACACTATGTATTCAAAATAGCAAAAATGAGATGTTTTGAAAAATTTGGATTACCCAGAAAGAAACCTCTGAACACAAAGGAGAGAACTAACAACAAACTAAAACCACATGTGGGGTTGCATCAGGGAATTAAAAGCGGATCTCACTGCTGAGTGCTCTTGCCACTAATACACCCTTGTTCCACACTGCACGTGTCAAGGTACATGTACATATACTGTCATTGTTATAAATCTAACAAGTTGCAGGTCTCATTTACAAATGGGTATAACTAAAAAGATAATAGCATGTACAAAGACCTCAACATGGGCGCATCTAGACCCGCAAGACCAGCTTTATATATGATGATCATGTGTGCAGCAAAGAGGGACCACCTTGGTTATAAAATTATCGCAAATATCCTAACTTAGGTCCAGCACCATTTCAACCCTTTCAATCTTAACAGTGAATTTCTAAAATCCAAAGAAGTAAATAGCACTGTGCAAATGTTCGCCCAAAGAGGTTGCTTTAATAAATAGGCAACACCCATGGATTTTATCCACAAATTTAAAAGTTTGACTGACTTAATAATAGTGCCACCATAATGCGATCTTGACTTGGGAGAAAGGGTTAAAGATTAGTTAAACATGGTAAGATACTCGATTACCATTCCTGAAAGTTCAGGTCCAAGGTCATCACAAGTTTTCTCCAACACAGATATTACCTCTTCCTGCAATTACATACAAAATAAACTGTTGAATAAACATACATTGTCTTATAATCTCTGTATTGCAGGAAATGAAAACACCATTAAGTTATTTACAATTACACTTTAACTAAATATGAAAAGTGAAAGTAAATAGACTAAAACAGTTACCTGGGTGGCATTTTGTGATAAGAATTCTTTGATTTGAGGTATGACCAGTTCACAGATCTCGCATGCAGTCTAAAATGAAAAAAANGGTCCAAGGTCATCACAAGTTTTCTCCAACACAGATATTACCTCTTCCTGCAATTACATACAAAATAAACTGTTGAATAAACATACATTGTCTTATAATCTCTGTATTGCAGGAAATGAAAACACCATTAAGTTATTTACAATTACACTTTAACTAAATATGAAAAGTGAAAGTAAATAGACTAAAACAGTTACCTGGGTGGCATTTTGTGATAAGAATTCTTTGATTTGAGGTATGACCAGTTCACAGATCTCGCATGCAGTCTAAAATGAAAAAAATAGAAAGGCTTGGCATTCTTACAAAATTGTGATGAATCTGTAATTAAATAAGTCTAGCAAGGCCAACTAGCTATATAGTGCTGCCACGTTTTGCACGAAATGAAAATGTCATAAGCACAGTTGACTCCCGATAACTTGAACCTTTAAGGGAAATCGAAAAAAGGTTAAGTTATCGGGAGTTTGAAGCAAATCACTGGAAGTATGGAAACAAGCAAACAGATGGGAAGGAAAGGCAATTAAGCAACAAAGTATACAGGAATGGACACTGAATTTGAACTGGAGTGACAAAAAAATAAAGACAAAGAATTGACTCGGTTGTTTTTAAATTAATTCAATATTTTGGACTTCAGTACACGTTTTTTCCCCGACTTGTCACGCACTAATAACATGGTTCGAGTTGTCAAGGGTAAAAATGTATAGAAATGAGCTGAAGGGAAACAAAATTTACTTCAAGTTAGCAGGAGGTTCGAGTCATTGAGGGTTCTAGTTACTGAGGGTAAAATTACAGTAAATGTAGGAAGGAAATCAAGGGAAAATCAATTTTGGTTCGAGTTAGGACGAGGTTCGAGTTAGCGAGGGTTTGAGTTATCAGGAGTCAACTGTATCATCAAGGTTAATAACATACTGCAACTTTTAAGAAGGTAAAAAAATTTGACCAAGGACCACCTTGAGGTAAAACAGGTTTCTTTACAGCCAACTAATCATTTCAAAAGTCAAAATGCACTAGTTCTTTAGTTGCCAGTCTTAGAAAAGGGTGTTTTATGACCATTTCATAATAAGACAAGCAGAGCAAAGCACAAAACCACTAAATAAACGGTACATACACTGCTAATTGCAGTTTAGACATCACACACCTTCTTGGCTTGCTCCTCACAGTAAAGTAATATGCCAGTAATTACTGTAACTCTTTAATTTAAAACAGAAATACAATAATTTTCTTCTTTATCCTGAGATGAAACTTCCTCCAACCAGCCCAGTTAACACAGATATGGAATAACAAGACTGTTCTTTTTTTAAAACTTTGGATCAAACTCACTTTCTACCCATAATTGCTCTTTGCCGAGCATTCGGCCAAGATGCTTAATGTAGCTATAACATTATCTGTACAGCTATTAACAAAATAATAATTACATCATCTTTGACAGCCCACACTTTGCTGCGGCAATGCTCCAATGCTTTACACTCAACAGCTTGTTTGTAGCTCTGGCACCAATAAGATGGACCCCAGGAGCATTTGCTTTGTCCCAAGGGGGTTGCAGCAACTGAAAAAAGGACATCAAATGCAAAATTTAAAACTGTCACGGAACTCTTTGAAACCTCAAATTTCATTACTCTGTTTTTGTTTTTCTCATTTTTCCAAGAGTGCCCAGACAGCCCAAAATTTATGCACATAACGACAAGTAATTTATAAACTAATGTTATGGCCCCGTAGCAGTTGCAAGTGTAGCATCTTACAAGATGGTTTTACAGGGCATAGAGCAGGAAAGTAACTACACAGTTTAGGCACACGGTGATTTAGAATATAGTCAGCACTGGTCTGGAGGGCTTGAAGAAGAAAGACAGAATTCCAATTCTAAAAAATTAAGTCAAATAAGTGTTCATTTCAGAGGTGTCCACCTTGTGGGGGGTCAATGATAGGAAACAACTCATTGGATATTCATTTTTGGAGTCTATTATTAAGATGCATCTGTTTACTAAGAGAGAGTTGATTGTATATTTAACTATCCCTTCATCACTAGTCACGCTGAAGTCCTATGACTATTATCTGCTAATAATAACAGTTGCTGTTTTTCAATCTTTGAAGTAGACTTTGGCCCTGCATGTTCACAATTTAACCTGCAAATGACAGTTGCCCCCACAAAACTGCAGCACTATAAAGTAGCTTGAGTACTAACTGTTGAAATAAGGTCATTATTATGAAGAGGGGCAAAGTCTAAGCAATGAGCATGATTTTAAAGTGGATAAGCAGCATTGGAAGTTTAATTTTTCAAACACTCGCCACCTGGGCCAGTACTGTTAAGGTTGTACATACCCAAACTCATTGTTACCCGTCAAATACCTCCAACCAACCCGAGGTAAACCAAATTAAATATAGTAAAGGAAACAGCACTATCTTCTAGTAACCAAGGCCAGTCAACTTGCCATTCTGAAAAATTTACCTTGTCATGCACTCTAGAATCTGCTTTTTGAAGGATTTCTTTCTTATCTTTTGTTGGGAGTTTTAGATATTCCAGGAACAGTTACAAAATGTCAAAAGATTTTAAAATCAAAACCACACAAGAAAAGATATATCAATAGCACTGTTGTTTCTCAACTTTTTGTGATTGCGCTATTATCAACGCAAAGTTTGAGTCTGGGAATGAGTTACGTCTTAACAGAAGTAATATTATTCTACAGTAATTTGAAGTCAATTTTCAACTGTATCCATATTTTTCTGATTAAAAATGTGCTTGTTCCACGGACAATTCATGTCAAAGGTTTGCATGTCCAAGCTAAATTTCTACCTGTCCTGGACGATTGGAGATGGGTTTTGCGGGGTGTTCATTAGGCATCAGAGATCGGAGAATTCTTCGTTTTCTGCTCGGAATTCTCCAGCTAACGTGTGATAGCCAATGACTATTTTCTATTCAGACATGGAGCCTCTTTCACAATATTCTCCTGTAGAGTTACACCTTTCTCCCGCTACTAGAATTCTTAGCGAAAATCCTGTTTTGGAGCACCCTGCACCAATGTCAAACCTGGACTATGAAACTAACATTTGACTGCAGAAAAACCCTGTAATTTTTGGGAAACTTAATATTTAAAAAAATTGAGAATCAACCTTCTTGTTGAAACCAATTTGACCTGGGTTTCATTTTGACCTAAAACATACATGTACATAACATTTCTTCCGCTTATGGTTCCTTCCAAACATGAAAACCACTAGCTTTAAAAAAACAGAAGAAAGTTAGCTGACTGAAAAAAAAGGCGGGGGCAGCTACACTTTTCTTTTTCTAAAGAACAAGAAGAAGGAGAAAAAAAATTTCATCGATATAAGCTGAAGCGGATCGCTCAAACATATAACGTTTCGAAAATATTTCTTGAGTTTCGTGTGGCAGCTGAAAGGTGCTATCCAAGCTAGATGAAAAATAACTCCATATCAGTTTAAAATAATATAATATGAGAATCTTTGTAGTTTTTAAAAAACGTAGAGAACTTTTTACGTTACGAGGACTATTTACAAAACGTATGTTAGCGAATCTTAAGGAAAGTAAAATTTCTTTAGTTGGAAGTTTGCCCTAAAACCTACCACTCGCTTTATATGTCAAAGGTTTTGCCACAAAGCTGCATGCAGAAGGAAGCGAAATCACGCGGCTTAGAGGAAAATTTCACTTTCTAGGTGAAAGAGTTTTGTATAAGAGCGTTTTGAGGCGTTACAAAGACTTACCCGAAGCTACAAGAAGTACAAAAACCGCCAATGTAGGGGCCATTTTCAAATTATTCTTACTGCTGTAGATCTTCTCACTGGTTGCGAACCGGGAAGAAAGTATGCAAATTTGTAGTGCTTAGAGCAATGTGATAATCACGAGACATCCTACCAAGCTACAACCAATCAACAGCAGCTCAGGAATCACGTGACATCATGCCATGGTGAAGCCCCCTTCCCCGCCCCCTCCTGATTTCGCGTTCTCGGACGTTGTCACCTTGCATGAACTTTAGCAGTACAAAAAGTACAAAAAAAGCGAGGCTGAGAATAGTCATCATTGCCACAGTAACTTTTTTCAACGGAAGATTTTTAAAGATAATACAATAAAGATTGTNAAAAAAAGCGAGGCTGAGAATAGTCATCATTGCCACAGTAACTTTTTTCAACGGAAGATTTTTAAAGATAATACAATAAAGATTGTATTTTCATATTTTATTGTGATCTCTCCATGAAGCCATGATCTTTTGTTCAGACTATATATATGGGACTGTCACATGGATGTCAAACCCGGCATTATTTACTCTAGCCTGCGTGGCAAGCGTTTCCATTTGGCGCGCGGTCTTTGACTCTCTCTTGCTACGCAGGCTATATTTATTCCTAAGGCCCGCCGGGTTCAAACGTCGAACTTTACATGTGCCGAACCTAATTCGTGGCGAAAAGAAGTATCATCCTTACTACTTAAAAGAGGGAAATTTACTGAAAAAAGTAAAAGTCACCAAGCCTGGATATTCTTGTTTTGATTTTAGTGTAATTTGTGTTCTGTTATGGCAAGGAGACATCTGAGGAGATCGTGATCGTGGTCTTTGGACTAAATAAAGTAACACCATCAATTTTAAAATACATACGCGATTTCTTTATGGATAAGAAGAAAAGCAACTTCTTAAAAGACCGTTTTGAGCTGTCCAGTTTCATTCTAAAAATCTACAACGTGAATGCTGGTAACCGTCGTTACGCTTCTGTGAGTTCTGTCCGCAAAGGTGCGAAAACCCACTAAATAGCCAATCAGAAGCGCGGTTACATTGAAAAATACGTGAACGTAATTTATGCATTAGGTTCGGCACATGTGAAAATCGAAATCGATCTTTCGCCGTTCTATTCGACAAGCTCAGTCGAATAGGACAGCAGAGTCGACCCAAATACAAAAGTTAAGAGTGAATAAAAGTATCCATCGACACTGCTGAAAAGAGAGCCTGAAAAATAATAATATGGCCAAGTTTGAGAATGATTTGTTGGGAAAGAATGAAGATATTATAGCTCGGCAAAGTTACAAAATTTTGCAGATGTTTATATGGTGAGGGGTACCAACCTGCCTCAGCCACCACACAGACCTTTGCAAAATTTTTCGACTTTTGTAGAGCTATAAGTTTGCTCACTTTAGAAGTATTACTTTCAAACCTGGCAGGTTTAATACCGGTAATGTTAAGGTGCTCTTTTCAGCAGTGTATTTAAAACAGAAATGTCCTCAAAAGTTTATGGCTCAATCAATTCCAAGTGTGGCCAACACCCCGGGCTTTTGTCATCGTGTCAATCCCGGCGGTGAGCAATTTGTCAGAAAACCTCTTCCCGGGGGTGGGGTGTAATGTCAATTCTTCTAGAAGTAGTTAACATCGTTCCACTTCCAATATTTCACTA